CCACTTGTTCCTCACCCAGAAAAGCGGACAAGCCCTAAGCAGAGCGCAGCACCCATGGCAGTGCGAACGTAGTCAGATTCTCACTAGAGTGTCTACGTCCACGCAGTTCTGTTTCAAAGGGGGTTTAGGGGTAACAAGTGACAGTAGCACCGAAGGCTCTGAGTATCTTTTCCCCCACAACTGCATCAAAACTACCCTCATTGTCCCAAATCTTTCTTACATTCATGATGTTTTACACCAGGCGCCAGTGGCTCACTCCTGTCATCTAGCTACTCAGGAGGTTGAGTTCTGAGGATCACGGTTCAAAGCCAGCCCGGGCAGAAAAGTCCATGAGACTCTTATCTCCAATAAACCACTAGAAAACTGGAAGTGGTGCTGTGGCTCAAGAGTTGGAGCACTCACCTTGAGCTGAAGAGCACAGGGACAGCGCCCAGGGTTCAGGCCCCATGACCGACCAAAAAGAAAAAGAAAAAAAAAGACAGTGTTTTACAAGTTACACAATCATCCCTATTCCAACCTACTGAAGGATAAATTATCCAAATCATCAATTCAGTGTCTGGTTTTTTTCTCTACCATTCATATGACCCCTATGAGTTATTTTGCTTATTCCAACTGGACTAAAAAGATAATGAAAACTCTGAATACTGTATTAAGTATTGGTAAAATTTTCGCTACTTATCCACACTCTTATTCAAGATACACTTAATAAATACCTATGATACTGATGTTCAGAAAACTGAAGATATGGCTCCTGAACCTAAAATAAATTTTCATGGGAGAATCACATATCCAACACAGCTACAAGTGTAAACGAAGACCCATGGGAAGAGAGACTACTATTTGCATCCTTTCAGGAATATCTTACCTAACACTATGATCCTGGAAGATAAGAGCATTCCCTCCACTGTTGCCAATTTACTCAGTTAACATAAGTCAGCGCATACAACCTGGATTTCCCAATCCCGACTGGATCACTCTAAAACGTCAATTTATCATTACATACATGAAGGTACAAAATCACAAACAGTACTTCAAAGATTCTAAACACAGGAAGAAACTTAGCAGTTACCTCACCTATAAAACAAAGCTGGAATAGTCACAGGTGGTTAAATAATGGACATTCCAGGAACCAATGTCCAGCGCCAGCCTGTGGAAGCCACTTGCCAACCAAATTACTAGTAATGAATCCTGTGTTCTTTCCCATCAAGCCCCAAAATGCACCTATAGCAAAATGTACTCTCGACATCCTTAAAGTCCAGAGGTAAAACAAACTGTTCAAAAACTTTACTCAACTAGTCTAAAATAGAAGTAGGCAATATACAAGGTAAGTAACATAACTGTATAATGCTTAGAAGCACTCAAAATACCTTCTGTTGTCATTTAGTCTTCACAGCCCAGTAAAGAACTGCCTCTATCTTTACTGAATTTTTTTCTGGGGGGAGGGTCAGCCGTGGGGCTTGAACTCTGGGCTTGGGCGCTGTCCCTGGGATCTTCAGCTCAAGGCCAGCGCTCTACTGCTTGAGCCTCAGCGCCATTTCCAGTTTTCTAGTGGTTTATTGGAGATAAGAGTCTCACGGACTTTCCATGCCCAGGCTGGCTTTGAACCAATCCTCAGACCTCAGCCTCCTGAGTAGCTAGGATGACAGAAGTGAGCCACCGGCACCCATCTTCTTTACTGAAATTTTAAGAATGTAATTATGTGCTTAGTTCAAGGTCAGCCAGCTAGTAAGTAAATTCTCACAAGTGAGTAGCTAGTGGATGCCTGGTCTGTTACTAAAGACACAAGAACAGCAATACAAAATTCCAAACTTTCTTAGCCATTAGACCCCGGGCAATTTTTTTAGATAAGACAAGTTCTTCTTGTAAAAATTAAAAACCTTCTAATTAACCAACTAATATTAAAAGATAGGGATCTAAAGGGCATACAGAACCTTTCCTACACAAAGCCTTCAAAAAAATTCCTTTTGCCAAGTGCTGGTGGCTCATCCTATAATCCTAGCTACTCAGGAGGCTGAGATCTGAGATCTTGGTTCCAAAGCCTGCCAGTGCAGGAAAAGTTCAGGACAGTCTGAGATTTTTTTATCACCAACTAACCACTCAAAAGCTCAAAGTGATGCTGTGCCTCAAAGTGGTAGAGCCCAAGACAGCAGCCAGGCCCGAGCTCAAGCCCCACAACCACCACCACCACCAACAACAAATTCTTTTACTTTTCAAACACTGCATAAATTAAAAATAGAAAGCCAAACACCAAAAAAAATAATTGTAATAACATTTAATGAACTCTTCATATTGGTAACTACTAATTTTTCATTTGAAAAAGTGACCTCAGTGCTAAATCCCTCCAGCAATATGCCATCTAGTAATATGTTACCCTGCTGTTGTGTAGAAACTATTGGCCTACTGGTGGGAATTTCTTCCTTCCTGTGTCAGGTGGGCAGTGAGGTCTGGTGGCTGGGCATGCAGAGACAGGCATTGACCAACAAATGATGGGATTTTATCTGTTTGACTCTTCTCCTTTAGCTATTTGCATTAAACAAACGCCTAGAATCTTAAAAGTATTTTGACTTTCAAAAAAAAAAAATAGAAAGCCAAAAACCTGGTTACTGAAAATACCAGTGTTTGTGGTCTCAACCTTTCCACCATTCTGTGTAAGCAACAGACTTTTTCATTTTTAATGCTTACCTTTAAACAAAACTAACAAATCTATAAACAGTGTTTTACATGTGCAGAACGCCTTATGACTGACTCAGAGACACAAAGCACTATTCAGTTCCCTTCTGTTTAATCTCAGTCAGCAAGCTATTCCTGAAATCAGAGTAATCTGAGATATTTTAAATCATAAATATTTGCACTGTAACATATTTATCATGTCCTATTTTTAGAGCTGTAACAGGCTTCTTCTGGATGGCCTTTGAAAGACCAAAACTACCCTTCATAACTAAAAAAGACTGGACTTTAAAAAAAAACTACCACTTATAGAGTGCTTGAATGCCTGAGGGCCCGGGTTCGATTCCTCAGCACCACATAAGCAGAAAAAACCGGAAATGGCACTGTGGATCAAGTGGTAAAATGCTAGCCTTGAGCTGAGAAGCTGAGGGACAGTGCCCAGGCCCAGAGTTCAAGCCCCACGACGGACAACAACTACCACTTATATCATATTATTTAAAAGCATCATGGAAACTAATGAATACCAATGAGAAATCCTTGCTTACAGACCAAAATATCCCAAAAAGTGCTACCCACACTTTTTACCAGCTCATCCAACCTGTGCAGGTTCTCGGCAAAAGGTATACAACCAAGCTGAACACCTTGCAAATAAACCAATGCCTTTCAAAGGAAAAAGCAAAAGCTGATTCTTTTTCTGTTCTTATTTAAAATTAGTCTACAAGGAATTACCCTAAGCTCCTTCAGAGAACTTTTCAGACCTAAGTCCCACGTTTTTGTATTCACGCTACTGGAAAAACTGCAGAGTGATTCCTTACTTTCTACGCTTACAGGATAAGGCACAAAAAGAGAAGCTACATTTGACTAGAAAAGGAACCTCCGAGATCTTCCCCCTTTCACAATGTTTAAACTGGGTGATCTACGATTGTTTTTATTTTAAAATACTCCTCTTTCCTGAACATTTTCTAGTCCAAGATAAATCTGGTCTGCAAGGCCCTAGCAACCGCTCTCTCGGACATCAACAATATGCAAGGGTCCATGGCAGACGCTTCACAACTGCTCCTCCATTCTCAAGAATACCCGCAGCTCGATTTGAAAAGTAAAATACAACGAACAAACATACAAGTTTTCCAAGCTGCATTTTACAAGAATGACGGTTTCTGGGCTGGGAAGGTGGCAGTGGTAGAGCGCTCGCCTCGCGCGCATGAAGCCCTGGGTTCGAGCCTCAGCACCACCTAAGCAGAAAATAAGCAAAAAAGCCGGAAGTGGCTGTGGCTCAAGCGGTAGAGCTCCCGCCCGGAGCCGCAGAGCCGCGGAGCGGAGGGACGGCGCCCGGGCCCACGACCGACACAAGAGCAAGGAGGACCGTGGCCCCTGGCCCGCGCGCCGTGGCCACGCTCCCCCGGGGCGGCCGCGGCTCAGGGGGGCTGGGTGCAGCGCGCAGGCCGCGGCGGGTCGGGCGGCCCCGGCGCCAAGCCACGAGCGCTCGCGAGAGGCGGACAAAGCCAGCGCCCGCCGCGTGCAACGGCCCGGCCCGCGGGCGGCCGCCGGGGCCCAGCGGCCGGCACGAGGCCCTGCGAGGTCGCGGGCGCCGGCCCGCGTCTCAACACAAAGGGGAGTCCCGCTTCCGAGCCGGGGGGCCGGGGGCCGGGCGGCCGGGGCCCGGGAACCAGAGGGGAAAGGGCCGGGGCCCAGGGGGCCGGGAGTCCGGGGAGGGCCGGGGCCCAGGGGGCCGGGAGTCCGGGGAGGGCCGGGGCCCAGGGGGCCGGGAGTCCGGGGAGGGCCGGGGCCCAGGGGGCCGGGAGTCCGGGGAGGGCCGGGGCCCAGGGGGCCGGGAGTCCGGGGAGGGCCGGGGCCCAGGGGGCCCGGAGCCCCGAGGGGCCGCGGTCGGGAGCGCCGGGTCCCGAGCCCACCGAGCCGAGCAGACGCGGGCACGACGCGGCGGCGCGGGGCGCCCCGCACCACGGGGGACGCGGCAGGGGCCGTCACGCCGCGAGCCCCGCACCGCGGCAGGGCGCCCGGGCGCGGCGGGGACGCGAGGCCGCGGCCGCTGCAGTGCGGGCCGGCCGGCCGCGGGGGAGGCCCCCGACGGAGCGCACCTGGCGGCCCCACCCCCGGAGACGACGCCGACGCGGGAAGTACCTGGCCGGCGGCGGCCCGCGCCCCTCCCCGCCCGCGGCCCTCGGCATGGCCGCCCCGCGAGGCGGCGGACGGCGCCGGACGCGGTTCGCGGGCGCGCGGGGCCCGCGGAGGGGCGGACAAAGGCGGGCCGGGCCGACGCCGGCCGCGGCCCGCGGAGGCCGGCCCGCGGCACAATGGCGGGCGCGCGCCCTCACCTCATGGCGCCGGCGGGCCTGGCGGACGCCGCGCGGGCTCCTCGGGGCCGGCGGGGTCGGCTCGCTCCGCTCGCTCCGCTCCGCGCCGCCGGCGGCCGCGCTACTCCATCGCCGGCCGCGCCGGGGCTGCGGGGGGCGCGGGGCCGCGGCGGCGCTCCCGCCGGTGCGCGGGCTGCCTCGGCCGCCCGCCGCCGCCGCCGCCGCCGCCGCTGCACAGGCCCGCGAGCCCCGCGAGGACCGAGAGGACCGCAGCCGCCGCAGCCGCGGGAGGAGAGTCGGGAGCGCCGCGGGGCGCCGGGGGCGGGGCGCGGGGAGCGCGCAGGCGCCGCCCTCGCCCCCCGCCCTCCCCCGCCGCCGCCGCCGCCGCCCTCCCCCGCTCCTCCCCCCGCCCTCGCGCTCCGGCCTCCCCCTCCCTCGCCATCCCGGCTCCTCGCCCTCCCCCTGCCCCCTCCTCCCCGCGCCCCCCTCCTCCCACTCGCTCCGCGGGCGACGGACGTGTGGGGGCGTGGCCGCCGTGGAGGACGTGTGGGCGGGGCCGGTGGAAAGGGGCTGCGGTGGGCGGGGCCTCGGCGGTGGGGGCGGGGCCGCCGGGGGCGGGGCTTGGGGAGGGGGCGCGCGCCGCCCTTTGTCGCCGCCGCCGCCCGCGCCTCCCCACCCCCCCCCGGCCCCCCCTCCCCCCCGCCGTGTCCCAGGCCGGGAGGCCCGGGCGGCGCGGGGGATCCCGGGCCGCGACCCCCGGGCCCCGCGGCGGCCTGCGGCGCGGAAGGCGTAGCCGCTGGAGGCGCGGAGGGGAGACGAGGCCGGACGGGGCTCCCCGCGCCTGCCGCCCGTGGGTGTCGTCACGGGCACGTCACGGGGTCGGCCCGGGCGCCCCGCTCCGCGTCCCCGGGTGGGGGCGATGGCGGGCGGGGGGCGGGGCCGGGGCTCCGCGTGCGGGCGGCGCGGGCGGCGCCCCGGAGCCCTCGTTGTCGTCACCGCGGAAAGGGAATCCCGGCGCGGGGCGCGGCCCGTCCTCCGGGCGCACCGCCTCGGCGCGCGGGGCCCGCAGCCGGCGCCCGCCCTCGGTGGCCCGCAGCCGGCGCCCGCCCTCGGTGGCCCGCAGCCGGCGCCCGCCCTCGGTGGCCCGCAGCCCTCGGTGGCCCGCAGCCGGCGCCCGCCCTCGGTGGCCCGCAGCCCTCGGTGGCCCGCAGCCCTCGGTGGCCCGCAGCCCTCGGTGGCCCGCAGCCGGCGCCCGCCCTCGGTGGCCCGCAGCCGGCGCCCGCCCTCGGTGGCCCGCAGCCCTCGGTGGCCCGCAGCCCTCGGTGGCCCGCAGCCGGCGCCCGCCCTCGGTGGCCCGCAGCCCTCGGTGGCCCGCAGCCCTCGGTGGCCCGCAGCCGGCGCCCGCGCGGCCCGGGGCGCTCGCTCCCGCCGGCGGTCCGCTCCGCCGGTCCGTCCGTCCGCCCGTCCGTGAGGACGGCCGTCGGGCGCTGGAGGTGGGGCCATCTTGGGAAAGGCCCCTCGGGACCGAGGCAGGACTCGGTGGCCACGGCCTCGCGTCGGGCGGCGTGAGGAGAGGACGCGCCCGCTCACACCGGAACCGCCCGCACACCGGAACCGGCCCCGCACACCGCCCGCTCACACCGGAACCGGCTCCAACAGCGCGCGGCAGGGCGGAGGCCCTGGGGCCGGTCTGGGGGCCGGTAGCCCTCCCTCCCGTCGGTCCCCCGAGCGACGTCGGGCCGGGCCGCTCCTGCCGCTGTGTCTGCTCCCCGTGGACCGGCGAGAAGGCCGTGTCCGCCCGGCCCGAGGGGACGGCCAGCCCCCGGGCGGCCACCGTGTCCACCACCCCGAGGGGACGGCCAGCCCCCGGGCGGCCACCGTGTCCACCACCCCGAGGGGACGGCCAGCCCCCGGGCGGCCACACCGTGTCCACCACCCCGAGGGGACGGCCAGCCACCATGTCCACCACCCCGAGGGGACGGCCAGCCCCCGGGCGGCCACACCGTGTCCACCACCCCGAGGGGACGGCCAGCCCCCGGGCGGCCACACCGTGTCCACCACCCCGAGGGGACGGCCAGCCCCCGGGTGGCCACACTGCGGGTTTTGGATGTGGATACTTGGGTGGCCTGATGGGCCAAGGGCGGATGCTGGGGTGGCAGACCCGGCAGAGCGCATCACCAATGAAGTGCCACCGTTCCCAGGAGCCTGTGTAGACCTGAAACCTGACCCCAGGTTTCCAGTCCTTAGTCCTCCAATCTCTCCCCAATCGTGGGATTTGACTCTGCAGCATAACACTCGTGGTGAGTCTCTTCCCATAAACCTTGCTTCAATTTAAAGCAGACCCTACCTGAACGTAGAGAGCTACGCCGCACACTGGCCACCCTAGCGCTCTGGAGGCTGGGGCCGGCCTGGCCTACAGCACAGGTTTGAGACCAGCTTGGGCTGTATAGTTGCAAGCTGCCTCAGAAAAGGGAATGGAGGGGAGGGAGGGAGAGAGGGAGGAAAGTCACCTCAGCTGCCCTCCAAGGTGTTTACTCAGCCTGAAATCCAGCCTCTGTGTTGAGAAACAAATATTTGAAAGATGAATGAATGTTTTAATATAAAGAGGAAACTAATTATTGAAAGAAGTAAAGGGGGGCTGGGAAGGTGGCTCAGTGGTAGGCGCTTGCCTTGCATGCCTGAGGCCCTGGGTTTGATTCCTCAGCACCACATAAGCAAAAAGAAAAAAGCCAGAAGTGGCGCTGTGGCTCAAGTGGTAGAGCGCTAGCCTTGAGCTGAAGAGCTGAGGGACAGCGCCCAGGCCCAGAGTTCAGGCCCCACAACCGGACCAAAAATAAATAAAGGGGCTGGGAAGGAGGCTTGCCATGCATGAAGCCCTGGGTTCGATTCCTCAGCACCACATACACAGAATGAAGCCAGAAGTGGTGCTGTGGCTCAAGTGGTAAAGTGTTAACCTTGTGCAAAAACAAAACAAAACAAAACAAAAAACAGCTAAGGGACAGCGCCCAGGCCCCAAGTTCAAGCACCAGGACTGCCCCCCAAAAAATACCATCAGGGGTTGGAGGCATGGCTCTATTAACAGAGTATGCACCACTGAGTTTGAGTCCCAGTCTCAGACTAAAAAAGAACATTGGGAGTGGCTTTTCCTCATGTTGAGCCTGTTCTGTACTGTTCTGTGCCACACAGTAAGAGGCTGCTCTGAGCAGGGCGTGCAGCCTGGCACTGAAACAAGACAGAAGGGACACATGCCTGTGGCCACCGTAGGGCTGTGGCTGTGGCTGTGGCTGTGGTAGTGGCTGTGGCCACCGTAGGGGCTGTGGCTGTGGCTGTGGCCACCATAGGGGCTGGGGCTGTGGTAGGGGCTGTGGCTGTGGTAGTGGCTGTGGCCACCGTAGGGGCTGTGGCTGTGGCTGTGGCTGTGGTAGGGGCTGTGGCTGTGGTAGGGGCTGTGGTAGGGGCTGTGGCTGTGGCCACCGTAGGGGCTGTGACTGTGGCTGTGGTAGTGGCTGTGGTAGGGGCTGTGGCTGTGGCTGTGGTAGGGGCTGTGGCTGTGGCTGTGGCCACCGTAGGGGCTGTGGCTGTGGCTGTGGCCACCGTAGGGGCTGTGGCTGTGGCTGTGGTAGTGGCTGTGGTAGGGCTGTGGCTGTGGCTGTGGTAGTGGCTGTGGCCACCGTAGGGGCTGTGGCTGTGGCTGTGGCCACCGTAGGGGCTGTGGCTGTGGCTGTGGTTGTGGCTGTGGTAGGGGCTGTGGCTGTGGTAGTGGCTGTGGCCACCGTAGGGGCTGTGGCTGTGGTAGTGGCTGTGGCTGTGGTAGTGGCTGTGGCCACCGTAGGGGCTGTGGCTGTGGTAGTGGCCGTGGCTGTGGCTGTGGTAGTGGCTGTGGCTGTGGCAGTGGCTGTGGTAGTGGCTGTGGCTGTGGCTTTGGTAGTGGCTGTGGTAGTGGCCGTGGCTGTGGCTGTGGTAGTGGCTGTGGCTGTGGCAGTGGCTGTGGTAGTGGCTGTGGCTGTGGCTGTGGTAGTGGCTGTGGTAGTGGCTGTGGCTGTGGTAGTGGCTGTGGTAGTGGCTGTGGCTGTGGTAGTGGCTGTGGTAGGGCCTGTGGCTTTGGTAGGGGCTGTGGTAGGGGCCTGTGGCTGTGGTAGGGGCCTGTGGCTGTGGCTGTGGTAGTGGCTGTGGTAGTGGCTGTGGCTCTGGTAGTGGCTGTGGCTGTGGCTGTGGTAGTGGCTGTGGTAGGGCCTGTGGCTTTGGTAGTGGCTGTGGTAGTGGCCGTGGCTGTGGTCGTGGCTGTGGTAGGGGCTGTGGTAGGGGCCTGTGGCTGTGGTAGGGGCCTGTGGCTGTGGTAGTGGCTGTGGTAGGGCCTGTGGCTTTGGTAGTGGCTGTGGTAGTGGCCGTGGCTTGCTTTCGGGGCCTATGATAGGTGCTGTAGGACAAGGCCCACCGGCCCGAGGGCTGGTGGAAGGCTAGCCACAGAGGCTCCCCCTCCGTGGACCAGCAGGAGGAAAGTGTGTGGCTCCGAATCCTCAGCAGTCAGGAAGTCAGAGCAGGAATTGTGGGCACAGTGCTTCCACCACCCAAGCAGGGATGGATGAAGAGGAGAAGGGAGCCAAGGGAGCCTGGCTGTGGACTGCCATTCTGTTGTTCAGTGGTCATTGTTTCACAGCCTAAGACTTGTTTAGGACGACATGCCAGTAGCACTGAAGGTATTTTTATGTTTCAGCTCCCAGCTCTGACTGCACACACGTAATCTCAGTTCTTAAATAGTGTGCAAAGACTGTCCAGGAAACCACTGACCTTTCTGCCATTGGTTATATATTTCCTTTCCAAGTTAGGACTTCCTTAGTTCATTTCATTTATTCTTCCCCAGTCTTTTCTTAGTTCAACAATGTGTAGAGTTGTCAGAAGTCTACCAGAAGCAATGGTATTGAAGTTAATCAAGAGACATACTCCATAAAATTCAGGCCATTGTTTCCACGCAGCTCAGCCATAGATGACATTAAAGAATATGGCAGGAGGGGCTGGGAAGGTGGCTCAGTGGTAGAGCGCTTGCCTTGCATGAATGAGGCCCTGGGTTCAACTCCTCAGC